GGAGCCTTATACACTTATAAAGGTATTCTTTTCTGTAAGCATGTGTGCCCTCTGCTGGTTTTCTGCTGTCCCTCCCCGCCCCCAAAGGTCCAGTGGGAGCCATCCTAAAGGACTTTACATTTTGAGGAGACCTTAAAGTAGTTCATATTTTGCTTGAGGTACTTCTTGCCAAAGAGTTACAGTGGTCTGGCTATGGCTAAAGAAGAGATGAGGTTCACTTGTCTTCTAATCTGGAGAATAACTAGTGGAAAGCTTTGACAGAAGAGGCCAGTTCTTCCCAACAAGCCCATAACCTTGCTGGTGCAGGGGTGGGAAGGAGGTAGCTAACGTATGAGGACATGATAGCCTGTTGCCACCCTTCCTGCTATGCCTAAAACTATCCTGTGCCCTTCGCCTTCTCTGGCCAAAGGTGAAATGAGACTGGAAGTTCAAGATCTTGGCTAGCAGCAAGAAGGTGTGATGTATCAGAGCAGAGATTCAAGAGAAGCCCACCTGGAGACTCAGGACAGACTGGGGCACCTAGAGGTCTGCATAGGGCCACAGCCATCTTCTTGCTCTTTAGTACTGGGCTCTCCCCAAAGACCCTCACTCAGGTATTCCCACTCTATGTACTATCCAGAGTATAAGGACAGAGACGCAGTGGTGGCTAGCTCTTGAGTTCTGTCTGTGTTAAATTTCCTAACCCTATCTTCAATGATGTCACTGGATTAGAAACTACTATTGGAAAGTCTATCCAGAAGCTTGGCAATTTAGGGATTTTCCTAGACTACTAGATGGAAATGATTGTTGTTGTTGTAAGGTACCATCAGGTTGGCTCTGACTCATAGTGACTCTATTTACAACAGAATGGAGCACTACCCAGTCCTGTGCCATCCTAACAATCATTGCTATGCTTGAGCCCATTGTTGCAGCCACTGTGTCAGTCCATCTCATTGGGGGTCTTCCTCTTTTTCACTGATCCTCTACTCTACCAAGCATGATGTCCTTCTCCAGGGACTGATCTCTCCTGATAACATGTCCGAAGTATGTGAGACATAGTCTTGCCATCCTTGCTTCTAAGGAGCATTCTGGTTGTACTTCTTCCAAGACAGATTTGTTGGTTCTTTTGGCAGTCATTATATATTCAATATTCTTCACCAACACCACAATTCAAAGGCATTAATTCTTTTTCAGTCTTCCCTATTCATTGTCCAGCTTGCATATGAGGTGATTGAAAACACTGTGGTTTGGGTCAGGCTCACCTTAGTCTTCAAAGTGACATCTTTGCTTTTCAGCACTTTAAAGAGGTCTTTTGCAGCAGATTTGCACAATGCAATGCATCTTTTGATTTCCTGACTGCTGCTTCCATGGATGTTGATTGTGGATCCAAGTAAAATGAAATCCCTGACAACTTCAGTCTTTTCTCTGTTTATCATGATGTTGCTTATTGGCCCAGTTGTGAGGATTTTTCTTTTCTTTATGTTAAGCTGTAATCCATACTGAAGGCTGTGGTCTTTGATCTTCATCAGTAAGTGCTTCAAGTCCTCTCCCCTTTCAGCAAGCAAGGTTGTGTCATCTCCGTATTGAATGTTGTTAATGAGTCTTCCTCCAATCCTGATGTCCCATTCTTCTTCATATGGTCCAGCTTCTTGGATTATTTGCTCAGCATACAGGTTGAATAAGTATGGTGAAAGGATACAGCTCTGAGGCACAACTTCCCTGATTTTAAACCACCCTGTTCTGTTGTGATGACTGTCTCTTTGTCTATGTACAGGTTCCCCATGAGCACAGTTACATATATTGGAATTCTCATTCTTCTCAATATCCACAATTTGTTATGATCCACACAGCTGGATGCCTTTGCATAGTTGATAAAACATAGCTAAACATCTTTCTGGTATTATCTGCTTTCAGCCGGGATCCATCTGACCTCAGCAGTGATACCCCTTGTTCCATGGCCTCTTCCGAATCCAGCTTTAATTTCTGGCAGTTCCCTGTTGATGTACTGCTGCAACCGTTTTTGAAATATCTTCAGCAAAATTTTACTTGTGTGCGCTGTTAATGATATTGTTTGATAATTTCCACATTCTGTTGGATCACCTTTTTTTGGAATGAGCATGCATTTCAGAGGCAAATTGAGACTTGGGTTCAAATCTGGACTCCCTGCCTTTGAGTTCAGTATGTGGTTTTGGTCAAGTTAACTAACTTCTGTGTCTTCTTTTCCTAATGGGAGTAGGAGAGTGTGGTGTGTGAAAGTGCTGGGGTTTGGGAAAAGACAGAGGTTGGTTTGAGACAAACTGTGTGTCCTTGGGCAAGCTGCTTAGCCTCTCTGTTCCTTAGGCTCCACATGTGTAAAAGGAGGATAATAATACAATCTACATTGGTGGGTTTTTGTCGGGTTAGATGAGATAATGTAAATTCAGTAGGTTTTAACATAGTTACTGACTCATACTAAGAACTTAGGAAAGATTAGCTGCTGTTTGTGTTAACAGTGATATGGTTGTTATTGTCATTGTTGATATTATTATTACCACAAGTACTACAGGTTCCAATTTACTACCTCCAGCCCTGCATCAAGGAGCAGTGGTGGCGCAAGAGTTAAGTGCTCGGCTGCTAACCAATAGGGTCAGTGGTTTGAACTCACCCAGTAGCTCTGTGGGAGAAAGACCTAGCGATCTGTTTTCATAAAGACTCCAACCTAGAAAACCCTGTGGAGCAGTTCTACTCCGTTACCTGGGGTCGCTATGGGTTGGAATCGATTTGAGGCCACCCAACAACAACAATAACCCTGTGTCAGATGCCTGGAAGAGCCAGGCCAAAGATAAAAGCATTCACTGCTGACAAACGTAAGTAGTGTCCCTAATGGCAGATGTGTTGGGGAGACCAGCGGATTTGCCTCAGTCCATTTCTGGGAGAAATGAGTGTGGCATCCAGGTACATCAGGAAAAATACATCCACATGCCTCTTCACCACACCTTCCAGCTGTTGCCTGGCAGCATCCCTCAGTGTACCCAAAAGAATTAAGCCTTATCTTTCGTTTCTCACAGCCAGCCACATGCAGATGATCTGATCCCGTTAAGAAACAGGCATCAACTTGAACACTGTTGTGATTGCATCGCAAACCTATCAGCTGCTGAAAAGGGAAAAAGGAACTTAGATCAGAAGGTCTGACCAAAACATTGAAAGTGAGATTGCGAAGAATGGTGTTTGTTGAAGCGTCAGGGACATGAAAGCAGTATAGACCCAACAAATGGAGTGAAAACTGAAAGTATTGATAAAGACTATGCAGAATTTAAGACTTAAGGAAAAGGCAAAAAGAAAAGCTCTAAGTATCTAGATGAAGAAAACCACATAGAGTAAGTCAAAGAGTTTTCTGTGAACCGAAAGGGAATATCAAGTAAGATGCTGCAAGTCAATTCAGGTAAAATAAGGAAGAATCCAAAGCCATAGGTATGTGCAGATTTATACATATTCATGTCTCCAGCTATCTCTGGAACATAAAGAGAGGTAGGAGAACAATTCTGGTGTTCTGATTCCTCCTGCTGAAAGGAATTGAAACTTTGCTATTAAGGTTATTTCCACAGCATTTTAGCATAGCAGTGCCAAGAAAATGCCCAAAAGAAAATAAAGATTGTTTTTTCATTTTCCAGGTCAATGGAAAGTGATGTAAGTTTTCGGTGATTATCAAATCATTTCCCAATTATATTTAATTTTGTGTAGAGTGAAGGAAGGGAAATGTGTGCCTACATTGCTGTCTATTTTTACACATACACGAAGTTTGGCTTCCAAGTGAACAGTATGGTCTCTTCAGGTACACATTCCAGAACTTATGTGTCACAGTGGGCATTACCCTTCAAAATGTGGTCACCTTGGAAAGCAGTATAATTATTCTAATGATTCTGCAATTACTGAAAACTCTTTTTTTTTTTTAATTCTCTCCATAGATAAGTATAGTTCACAAAAAAAGAGAAGCATTTGTTTAATCGCATGTATTTATTAAACACCTACAGTGTACCAGGCATTGTGCTAGATAGCAAGGATATGGGCAGCAATAAGACATAGGTTGGCTCTAAGAAGCCAGATCTTGCTGTTTTATTAACCCAAAGCAATATTACTAAGCATGTTTTCCCACCTTATTTTGTTTCCAACCTTACGTTGTTTCTAAAAATCAGATCCACCCTCAAAGAATCAAGGTGTGATATTACTAAGGGTGTTTAGAATTAATTGCCATCTAAAACAATGAGCAGTTCCCAAACAGAAATTCCATAAGATGTTTTGGGCATGGACTAATCATTTAGCTTCCCAGGGGAATTACCCTATTGGGAGAGGGGTGCTCACTTGAATGGCAACGTTTTAATATTTTTGAATTATTCACTTTACTTTGTATTTTTATATGTACTTTCAATAGAGTATATATATATATATCATTTACACACACATACACAAATGCTCCATTTTTAGCATGTATCTTAAATCTCAAAACATTTTCTCCCTGTGAGGGTACTAATGAAGGAGCCCTGGTGGCTCAGCACCGCTCAGCTGTTAACCTAAAGGTTGGTGGTTCGAGCCCACTTGGGGCTCTGTGGTAGAAAGACATGGCGGTCTGCTTAGGTAAAGATTGTTGTTGTGTGCTGTCAAGTCGATTCAGACTCATAACGACCCTACAGGACAGAGTAGAACTGCCCCGTGGGACTTCCTAGGCTGAAATATTTTATGGGAGCAGATTGACAGGTCTTTTCTCCTTTGGCGTGGCTGGTGCGTTCAAACCACCGACCTTATGGTTAGCAGCTGAGCACTTATTCATTGCACCACCAGGGCTCCTTTCCATAAAGATTACAGCCAAAAAAAACCTTATGGGGCAGTTCTGTTCAGTCACGTGGGGTCGTTATGAGTCAGAATCGACTCGACAGCACCCAACAACCACAGGGCGCTAGTGAGTTTCCCGGGGAGCCTGCTCACAGCCCTGAGAGCTGACAGGATACTCATTAGTCTGTCTGTTGTCCTTTTCTCCTCCTCCCCAGAATCCTAGGGAATCGGGTGGCTGAACTAGAGAAAAAATTAAGAACTCTGGAAGTTTCTGGTTTGTGGAGTCTTCCGGGTAAGCAGAACTTCATAAAAATTGTTTTCCTCTTTTAAATAAAGGCAGCTCTCACATAATTTGAACAGAAGATTCCTCCTTTTCAATGTCCTTTTATTTGAAGATAATTGTTGCTGAGAAATCTACAAGTGCTTCCAACTTAGAAACCATCATTCGAGAGGAAAGATTGGAAAAATGGAATCAGTATTCAAGTTCTTGTCTGTGCAACTCTGATGTTCTATTAACCTAAATTCTGAAATTTTCATTGTATGCGTCTGTATAATTTTTTTTTTAACTTTTGTAAACGTAATGAATTGTTTCATTTTTTTCCCTTCACGTTATAAAGATTTGCTCAATTTAATCATCAGTCCTAAAAGTGAATATGAAAACTTAACAAAGATTTGTTCATTTTACCCATCAGTACTAAAAAGGAATGTGAGAACCAACAATTTTTCAAACTCAACTCCCTACCCCCCCCAGTACACCTCACAAAATCTGCTAACCTGCTTCTCCTTCTTTCCCCAATCCCATCTTTAAAAATCAGAATTTCCTATGGAGATACTCAGTTGGACATTGTGCAGGGAAAGTCTGATGTTTTGCTTTAATTAAAGCGATATTTATCCCATTTGTCTTGGTAAAATACCCCCTTCATGAAGCCACTGTCAGCTCTTCCCCTTTGTCTGTACACTTTTCAGAAACTTATATTTATCATTTTCCACCACCTCCTCTTTTCCTGGGAGCAACATTGTACATATATTTTTAGTTACTTAACCTTTCTGCACAAACCAGTCTCCTCTACCCTTGAATCAGAGTGGTTGCTTCCCTATAATGTATGATAAATGGAAATTGCCATAGGGAGGTGGACAACCACAACAGCAAGCTTTCCTCATGTAAATCTAAATATCTACCTTAGGCTGCCTGGATATGTGTTTCACAAATTGGAATTTTTAGCAGAGATTCCTTGAGCTTGATGTCAAAAGACCCAACAGAACTGATTACTGATAAGTGCCATCCTGGGGACTTGAATGATTCATTTTATGCAAGAACCTTGTCACGCAGTTAAAACCTTATCTTCACTTGAAGGCCTTTCTTTTATTGCACTGAATTTCCAACGCAGGCCAACTTCTCGTTCATTCGTACAGTCAGATTACCATTTCTGTGTTTTTTACTGGAGTTTTGATTCCCCTCTGGAATGACTTAGTGAAATTTTGCAATGCTTTATTTCTACAATCTATATAAAATCGTAGATGTTGAATAAATGTATGAATGCTGAGAATTTTCTAACTTTGGTGTTGTTTGGTCTAGGTGAGCCGTCAAATGGCTATTATTAATAACGATTGTCTCTTTCCTTCTTTTCTGCTGCCTGAAGGCCTGAGCTACAATGTGTCAGTGGGATTTGGGAGTACGTTCTATTTGAAATATCTATTTTTGTGACTAATTTCAGCAGTTCATTGACATCATCCCTGCATGTAAATAAATAGAAGTGCATTATCTCTGTATCCTTGATTGTTTCTGATGAGAATAGTCAAGTGAAATAGAGAATTCAATTAGAACACCGCAAATATTAAATGGTAAATTAGCTTTGAGGGAAGCAGTTGAATGAACTTTATGCCATGGCCATGTTTGTTCTGATTTCTGGCCTCCACATAGATATAACGTGGGAGGACAGGATAAAGAGAGGTAATTCCCCAGATCTCACACAGTTTATGTAACAGCAGTAGGGTTACATAGTGGTGAAGGATGTTAAGATGAAGCAACGCGTTATGTGATTGTTTTCAAACCAAAATGAAAGTAAGGGAGGACAGGGCCTTTTCCGGTGTCAGTCAGATCAGTCCCTTCTGCCTGCTTATTATTTCATGTGTCTCCGTTTTACCTACTGAACAGGAGAGCAGAAGAAAGATGGTCTTTTCTTCCTCCTCTTCTTTTTTTTCTTCTTCTCTTCCTGCCCTCCCCCCCTCCCCCACCATGTAGGAGTCAAATTAGGTCCCTGGGTGGCTCAAACAGTTTGCATTCATCTGCTTACCTAAAGGTTGGCAGATTGAACCTGCCGAGCAGTGCTGCAGAAGAAAGGCCTGGCAGTCTGCTTCTGTGAAGATTACAATCATTGAAAACCCTATGGAGCACAGTTCTACTCTGTAACACATTGGTTCGCCATGAGTCAGAATCAACTCAACAGCAACTGGTTTTGTTTTTGGGGTGTGTGTGTGTGTATGTGTGTATATATATATATATATACATACATATATATGTGTATATGTATATGTGTATATATATATGTCTATATATATGTCTATATATATATATGTATATATATATAAAAAACAAAAAATCACAAATCTGTTTCTACTGAGTCGATTCCAACTCATGGCGACCCATGTGTGTGTGTGTGTGTGTGTGTGTGCGTGCAGTGTGTGTGGGTGTATTTGTTGTTGTTAGTTGCCATCAAGTCAATTTCAACTCATGGCGACCCCACATGGGCAGAGTAGAACTACTCCATAGGGTTTTCAAGGCTGTGATCTTTTGGAAGCCGATCATCAGGTCTGTCTTCTGAGGCATATATATATATATACATATACACACATATATATATACGCACAGGGAAAGAGATTTATTTTGTGGAAATGGCTTATATTGGCTCATGTGATTGTAAAGGCTGGCAGATCCAAAAATTCGTAGGTCAGGTGACAGGCTAAAAACTCCAGCAGTCTTGTGTATTTACAATCTCAAAACAGAATATGTCCCCAGGAAACCTCAGGTTTTGCTCTTAAGGCCTTCAACGGATTGGCTGAGGTCCACCCAATTTATAGAAGGTAATCTACTTAGCTTAAGTCAACTAATTTAAATGTTAATCACATGTAAATACCTTCATAGCAACACCTAGACTAATATTTGATCCAACAACTAAACACCATAGCCTAGCCAGGTTGACACAAGATTAACCATCACAGTGCCTCCTCTGATAAATTAATGTGTTGGTAACTTTTTGAACATTGACTTTGTGAACTCATTGCCATTCTAGACATGCCCCTCACCCCCTCCAAGAATCTACAGTCCCGTTAGGGAAGCAAGATGAGTACACATGAAGCAGTGAGAAGAAAATGCAGAATGGCATGCAACTGAGTAATAAATCAGTGATAAAAACCTTAGCATGTGAGAAAAATGAGGTGAGGAGTCACCAAATGCTAAACCTGGAAGGACATTTGAGAGCAAGATGCTCAGAGATGATGAATACTTGGTGTATATTGCATAACACCCATGCCCACACCAGTCACAGACATTGCTAATCAATCTCATTTGTCCTTGCTGATGTCAGATACGGCTTCAGAACAGTCCTCCACTTGGGCTTCCTAGGAAGCCATCTCCTGGTCAGAGTTGACATGTGAGAGGAAATATTTTCCCCCTTTCTTGATTAGTCTAATCCCCTTATTTTCTGTAAGGAAACAGAAGCCCAGAAAGATGATTTCTAAGGCCACAGAGGCTGATATTAGAACTCAGGTCTTCAGATTTTCATTTCAGTGTTTTCCACCTGTACTGGGTAACTGCAATTCAGAGAAGAGAGGACTAGGGTGGGTTAGTGCAGCTGGGACTAGTTCAAGGAGCCAGTTGGATTGGAGAAGCACAATTCAGAATCCAGAACAATCTCTTCTGAGGCTCTAAAGAACAATGGTGAAGGGCCTACCTCATTACTATAAGGCAGAATGACTGTTGGATTCTGAACATGCTATGATTTTTCTTTGACTTTGCCCTCCTACCCTCTTCACTCTCTCAGCCAACAGTATATAGCTCTCTTCATGCTGTTTTCTGGAATTGGGGCAAATATGCTGTCTTAGGCTGGGTTCTCTAGAGAAGCAAAACCAGTGAAGCATATATGTATATATGGAACTCTGGTAGCACAGTGGTTAAGTGATATGGCTGCTAACCAAAACGTTGGCAGTTCAAATCCACTAGCTGCTGCTTGGAAACCTGATAGGGCAGTTCTGCTCTGTCCTGTAGGGTCACCATGAGTCAGAATTGACTCGAGGGCAACAAGGTTTGGTTTTGGTTTGTTTGTACATATATATATATAGAGAGAGAGAGTGATTTATCTCAGTGAAATGGCTCATGTGGTTGTAGAGGCTGGCAAGTTCCAAATCCATGGGTCAGGCATCAGGCTGGAGGCTTCTCCTGACTCACGTAGCTCCAGGGGCTGATGAACACAAGATTGGCAGGTCAGATGGAAGACTGCTGGCTCACAGGCTGCGGAGGCTGATGAATCCAAGAGTGGCAGGTAAGACGGCAGGCTGCTGGCTCACAGGCTGTGGAAACTGATGAATCCCAAGATTGGCAGGCAATATAGCAGGCCACTGGCTCAAATCTCAAGAACCGGAGGTCAGACGATAACAAGCCAGATGTCGGATCCAGAGCAAGCAAGCAAACATTCCCAGAACATCCGTATATATATTGGATATAGTCCGTACCCCTGAGGAAACTCCCCTTACAACTGATTCGCTGATCACATAAGAGCACATCATGGAGGATGACTGCGTTATCACATAACTGCCAAAGTACATTGTTACATACCTGCCAAACCACTGAGAATCATGGCCCAGCCACGTTGACACACAGCCTTAACCATCACGTATGCCATCTTGCAGGGAAATAGACAGAAGTTAAACAAGTTTAACAAATGGCACAGCTTGCATGGAGAAATCATCTAGATAGCAAAGCATAACAAGCAGAACAGATACGGGGTTGTAGAGAAGAAGCCAGCCCCTAAGGAAAGCATGGCTTCCCATCCTCCCAGTCCCCTGCCTGTTAGCCTACATTTCTCAGCCCTTTGTGGGCCTCTGTAGGGAGAGTGGTGTTTGGATGGCTCTGAGGGGAGGTTTGCTGGACGTGTTCAAGCTCTAAAAAGAAGCACTGAAGGCCACGAATAATTGGACAAGAGCAGAGCCTGGTTCTTTGATCTTTTCATTTTATTTCTTTCATTTTCATACCCAGACATCAGCCTGAGGAGAAAAATGTGTTTTTAAAGTACTTGGTACTTTAAAGTACTTGTCTCCACAATCAATGCCCATGGAAATAGCAGTCAAGAAATCAAATGATGCATTGCATTGGACAAATCTGCTGCAAAAGACCTCTTTAAAGTGTTAAAAAGCAAAGATGTCACCTTGAAGACTAAAGTGTGCCTGACTCAAGCCATGGTGTTTTCAATCACCTTATATGCATGTGAAAGCTGGGCAATGAATAAGGAAGACCTAAGAAGAGCTGATGTCTTTGAATTTGGTGTTGGCAAAGAATATTGAATATACCATAGACTGCCAAAAGAACGAACAAGTCTGTCTTGGAAGAAGTACAGCCAGAATGCTCCTTAGAAGCAAGGATGGCGTCTCACATACTTTGGACATATTATCAGGAAAGGCCAGTTCTTGGAGAAGGACATCATGCTTGGTAAAGTAGAAGGTCAGCAAAAAAGAGGAAAACTGTCAACTAGATGAATTGACACAATGGCTGCAACAATGGGCTCAAGCATAACAAAGATTTTGAGGATGGCATAGGACTGGGCAGTGTTTCATTCTGTTGTGCATAGGTCGCTATGAGTCGCAATCAACTCAACGGCACCTAACAACAACAAAGTACTAGGTATATTTTAGAGAAAGGGGTGAGGGGCTTTGTGTGGCAAGGGATCGAGAACTTCCAGAAACACAAATGCTAGTTGAATGTAAGGGCTTCGTTTGGCCTTCTTCATTTGTTGTAGTTCGACTCTAGTTTGTACATCACTCTCGTCCCTGCTCCCAGTCCTCCAGTCCACCCAAGAGCCAAGATGGTACCATGAGACAGCAGATCATCAGATCAGAGCTTGGTTTGGTCAACATAAATAGAATATGGACTCAGATACAATTAATAGAACCAAGACCCTTCTAAGGGAGTTCTTTGAATCCTTCAAACATTTTGCAAGCATGATCAAATCTTGACATTTTACCTTAAGATGGGAGTTTAGGGAAGTATTCTTCTTTTCTCCATCTTATATGGAGATTGGGAGAGTGGTGGCTTCTATTTCCCTCTACATGCTTGTTACTCAGATTTTCTGGAGAAGTTTAAAGTTGCTGTTACCAGTGTTTCTGAGGAGCCATTGTGGAACAATTAATTGCCGAGTGGCTGGATAGGGCCAAAGAGACTTTCTGCTCTGAAGACTTCCTCATGATAGGTAGGGCTGGAAGGCTGAGGATCTTCCTCAAGCTGCCTTGTGTCACTCGACTGCAGCCAGCTCTCAACTCTGGCCATAAGTCTGATTTTTTGGCCACCAAGACAGGGGATTTGGAAGACTGGTTGGAACATAGAGGGGCAGAGTGTGTCTCTGACTGAGTTCCCTAAGGGCTAGAGAGCTGCCTGTACACCTGCTAGAGAAAGATGGGCCAAAAAATTCAGTCCTGTCCCTGTATTGAGGACAGGAACTGTTACTATGATGGAGAGACATTTGCCATCGTATCGTGGTTACCAAAGCCTGCATTGCTGTTAACTCATCAGGGTGTTTCTAGATTGTGCCTTTGCATCACGAAGGGAGAGTGAATGTATTAACTTCATTCTCAAAGCCTCTGAACAATATCTCAAGCTGCAGGTCCAGGATTCCTTTCGGGAAACCTCCCCAGACTGTGGCCTTGAAGATCTCTGGCATTTTTCAACATAAGACATAGCAATATCTGTGCTGGTGTAGAACTTCAGGGTCAACTCTCTATCAGGTTTCCATTATTCTAGGATGACCCTCAGATAGCAGAGAAATCAGGGTGCTATGATGCCTGCTAATAAGGATCCCTGGTGGTGCAATGGTTAAGCACTCGGCTGCTAACCAAAATGTTGACAGTTTGAACCCACCCAGTGGCTCCGTGGGAGAAAGACCTGGTGATCTGCTTCCCAAAGATTACAGCATAGGAAACCCAATGGGGCAGTTCTACTCTGTCACATGGGGTCACTATGAGTCGAAAATCGACTCGAAGTTACCTACAACAACAACAGTGCCTGTTAAGAACACACTTCCATCTGCCTGAGTCAGCAGCAAGCATTCTGGTCCACCAAGACGTCAGAATTCCCAAGGTTGCATAAACCGTCTATTAAGGCATTCGTCAGATATTTATTGAGCTCCTACCATGTGCCATGCTCTCTACTACGGTCTTGGTAATCGAAGTTAGTAAGACATGGCCTAATGGGAAGACAGTATTATAAACAAATAGAAGGGACTCAGAGGTACAATGATGGAGTTACGTCTGTGGTTCACCTGGTTCTTTAAGGAAGGAGTAGATATCTCTACACAAGTATCATCCCGTGCTCTGCCAAACCTGAAACATAGAATTTTAGAGCCTCTAATCAGAGCCCCAGAGGGCAGTGGTGGCTCAGTAGTAGAATTTTTGCCTTCTAGGCAGGAGACCCTGCAGCCCTCGTGGCACAGTAGTTAAGAGCTCGGCTGCTAACCAAAAGGTCATCAGTTCAAATCCACCAGCCGCTCCTTGAAAACCCTGTGGGGCAGTTCTGCTCTGTCCTATAGTGTCACTATGAGTCGGAACCGACTCGACAGCACTTAACAACAACAACAACATGCAGGAGACCCGAGTTAGAGTCCCAGCTAATGCATCTCATGCCCGGCCACTACTCACCTATCAGTGGAGGCTTGTGTGTTGCTATGATGCTGAACAAGTTTCAGTGGAACTTACAGAGTAGGACAGACTAGGAAGAAAGGCCTGGTGATTTACATCCAAAAATCAGCCAGTAAAAACCCTGTGGATCACAACAGTCCAGTTTGCAACCGATCCTGAGGATGGTGCAGGACTGGGCAGTGTTGTGTCCCCTGTTCATGGGGTCGCCATGAGTTGGGGTCAACTGGCTGGCAGCTAACAACAACAACAATCAGAGCCCCAGAGACATTTAGTAATTTGGCTTCATGCAGCTTTAGAGAGGGCCTTGCTCAAAGTCAGACAGTAAGACTGGCACATGGCTGGGTCTGTGGTCCCCTGAGGTTTTCATTTTTGGCACGGTGGTTCTCACCTAGAGAATCCCTTAAAGCCTAGGGACCAAAGTTTGGGATCAAATTGTGCCTCTTGGGCTCTTTTGAGTAGTTGAGGCAGCTTTACTTCATGTCCATGTGTTTTGTGTCTGTGTGTCTGTGCTTATTATATGCATGCTTCCAAGCCACACTTCCCTCCTCCTCATCTCCATAACTTGCCATAGCCTCTAAAATAGGAGTTTCAGTGGTTTTCCTTTCCTTCTTCTATTTGCCCCCCAAGCTTTCTGCTGTCTACTTAGGGAGTTCATACTAACAGTATGGGACTATGTTCTAAGCGAAAGTTTCACTGTGATAACTTGGGACACCTGAAACTGCCTGCCTTATGACAGAGTTGTTATTAGGTCTACATGATCAAGTTAAATTCAGTAGTGTCTGTAGCAGTGCTATTTACACTATAAAGTAATGGTTTCAGTTGGTGACATTTATTGAGCATCCATTTCATCCTTACAACCACCTCTTAAGGTGGGTGTTGTTATTCTTCCTCATTTTAAAGATAAGGAATCTGAGTCCCAGAGAGGTTAAGTGACTTGCCGAGGGTCACCCAGCTAGCAAGTGATGGAGTCCAGAACACAAACACCTCAGTGTGGTTCCAAAACCCACATTTTCCTAAACAGTCTGCTGTTGTCATTGTTATTGGCTCACCCACATAGAAATCACTCCATTTCTGCCAACAGGCGGCCCTTTAATGATAGCATTTGTGGGTAGCCATGTCCCGATTGGACTCTCACTGCCCTGTTCTCATGCTACACAATGGGCCCGTTGGCCATTTCCCTTCCACAGCTTTACTTGCAAATGAAGAAGCACATTGTTGATCCAAACAGCCGAAGTTAATTGCGTGGGAGTAAATGTAGCCACAGCTCCATGGATAACATATTATGTCCATTTCCCCTCTTTTCCACGACAGGAAGCAAGGACACCATACTGTTCAGTGACCCCACTCTTCCCACCATCCAGAGGTCAAGATCCCCACTGCTGAAATTCACTGAGCAGCCCACCGAGAGCACAGCAAATCCCAAGAGTGGTAAGCACACCTCCGTTTCTCCTTCTTTGTCTAACATGTGCCTGGCACATAAGAGGGGCTTGGTGGGCACCAGTCCGTTTCCCTTCCTACAGTTTCTGTGGTGTCCTTGGGTCATCTCACACTTCCTCTTCTTGCCTACATGGGTATTGCTTGTTTGAGGTTCCAGCAAAAGACTGTAGGTCCCTGTACCCTTGGCATGGGTCAGAGAGGCTAAGAGTGAAGGCTCATAAGTAGAACAACTTGGGTTCTGATTCCAGTCCCAAGTCTTATTGACTGAAAACTTGGGCTGTAAAATGATGAAATGATGGTGCCAATTTCAGTGAAAGTTTGGCACATTGCCAGGCACGTGGTAAGTGTTCTGTGGCTCAGAGCTTCTCCACTACCATGGACACAGTCTCTGGAGGTGGGATGTTTTGAAGGGGATCAAAAACCCATTTAAGGTGCCAGATGAGCCAACAGATGTGACAGCCAGATTCCTTCTCATGTGGCAGTCTTCTGTCCCAAATAAAACCACTCTTCACATCTTTCTAAGTTTTGCTCGTCTTCTTCCTCCACCCTCAGTGTGGTAGCCAACTTCCAAGATGGCCCCCCGTGATCCTCATCAACTGGTATTCATGCCTGTGTGTAGTCCTTTCCCATGTTGTATCAGGGTTAGTCTGTATGACTAATAGATATAACATAAATGCTAGTATGTGCCTTTCAAGGCTAGATCATAAAAGACCTTGCTCTTTCTCTCTCTTGGACTGTTCAGTCTGGAGGAAGCCAGCTGCCATATCGTGAGGATACTCAAGTAGCCCTATGTGCTGTTTATGTGGTGTGGACCTGAGGCCTCCAGCCGTCAGCCATATGAGTGAATTATCTTGTAAACATATTCTCCATCCCCATTGAAGCCTTCAGATGACTACAGGCCTGGTTGACATTTTGATGGCCACCTCATAAGAGACCCTGAGTCAAAACCACCCAACTAAACCACTCCTAGATTACTGAATCATAAATTGCTAAGTTTTGAGGTAATTTATTATGCTGCAATATATAACTAATACACCCAGTGTCTGAATGTCAAGGTTGTTTCCTTGAACTTGCAAATTTCTTCTCCATTTTCTTTTGCTAAGCATCATGCCTTCTACCATCTCTATCCAAATACTCTCAAGACAGTTTTTCCCACCAGGTTCCTGAAGCCTACTGGACCTGAATATTCTGTGGAGATCTCAGCTATCATGTCAGCAGCCATTCCTGCTTTCTCCCTTTTTTGTCACCGTCTCAGCTACCCGGGCTTGAAACCTTGAAGTCCTCGACCTCTCTAAACTTTCCTTCCCCTTCCACGTCTGGTGTGTAGCTAAGCTCTTTCTTTAGAGCTTTCTCTCACCTCCATTGCCACCATCACTGGCTTGTCTCAGGCCCTCTTTATCTTGTTGGCAGGACTCCTCTCTGGTTTTCCTGCCTCCCAGGTTCTTCTCACTTCATTCTATCTTTATCTTTCTGCTGTAGGATGCAGCTTCTATAGCACTGTTTTCTGTCCTGCCCAAAATCATGTTTCTGTCCTGCTCAGAAATCCCCAGTGGTTTCCAGTTGTCTTCCACTCAACGTCTGAACTATGCAGGCTGGCCTAGCCTTATGATTATCTGCTTTTATCAAACTAGACTAACCAGCTGCATCAGTTAGCTATTGTTGCTTAACAAACCACCCCAAAACTGGTAACTTAAAGCAACAGGTATGTGTTAGTTATCGCAAGTCTTTGGTCAGATGGGTGGTTCTGCTAATCTGAGCTGGCCTCAGAAAGGCTTACTGATGCATCTGTACAGCTGGAAAGTGATAGAGCCAGATTCAAAGCTAGGTCATTAGGCAGCAGAGCCCAAGATCTTCTCCACGGTGATAAGCCTATTGCCATATGAGGGTGGATTTCTCCCAGGTGGACTGAAAGGATCAGTCCTTTGGAAACAGGTAAATATAGCCCCACTCTTAGGCATCTTTGAAAAGAACTACATCTTAAGGCCCATTCAAGTTACCTATTATAGTTCTTGGAATGATAAGAATAGAAGCCATAATATATCTGGGATTATAACAGAAAGATTCCCAAGCACATGTAGAAGGAATTCCTAGAGAGAGTTGCTGACTCTGGTGGGTTCCACACTGGCCAAAAAGCTAGGTTAGGTCTTGCGAGCCAGAAAGCATCTGACTGTTTGCAAGGCTGGCCTGTAATGCGCCATGGCTCACTGTGCAGTTTGGAACATGTCTTGACTAGTGGTCATCCCATGCTAACAGCCAGAGTCCATATGGACATCTGAAATCCCTGTACACCAACCCTCACTGAGCTTAGGGTTGAGCCTGGACTTGCTGAACTGAAATGGAGCATGAGCCTGGCTTGATTTTCACAAGGGTGGCATAAGTAATGGCCTGATTCAAAATGATAGCTTCCAGAGTTCCATCATTAGCTCTCATTGTTCCAACCCTGCTCTTTGCCAGCGCTGGGTAGTAACAAGGAAGCGTTTATGTAGCGGATGTCAGTGTCTGGGATGGCCTCATCACCATTGCATTTCTGATTAATTCCAACTGAAAGCAGCTCACACTCAGTAGGACAAAGCCCATCAGAAACCAGTTAACAAAGGAAGACGAATGTCTTTGGGCCAATGGTGTGGGGAGGGAGGAGACACATTTTTGAGGAACTAGTAATCTTTTCCACAAAGAGCTACTGTTTCTTCATCTTTTAGAGAAAATATTTTTTTCCTTCCACACTGTTTATGTCATAATGCATTTGTATCAATCGATTGCTTCTTCATTATTGATATTAGTATGTATATTATAATAATAATAAGTATTAATGATAATTATTCTTT